GCGTCATGGTAAATTGTGGAAACTGCTGGGTAGCACAGTATTCAGTGGTGAAAGCTATGTTTCAGAACAGGCGAAGAAGGACACTACTATGTTATGGCATATGAGGCTGGGGCATATTGGAGGAAAAGGTCTGGAGACTCTAACATCAAATAAGCTGGTGGATGGAATTCCAAGCTGCTCTATGGGGTTTGGATTTTGCGAACATTGCCTGCAAGGGAAGCAAAATCGGGTATCTTTTGATTCCATAGGAGGAAGAGCTGAGGGGATTCTGGACCTGATACACAGCGACGTGTTTGGCCCTACACCTGTAGAATCAGATGAAAAATCAAGGTATTATGTTTCTTTTACTGATGATTTTTCAAGATATGTGTGGTTATATTTCTTGCGCAGTAAAAATGAAGTGTTCGATAAATTTCGCGAGTTCAAGGCTTTGGTGGAAAATCAGTTTGATCGAAAAATCAAGGTGCTGAGAACTGACAATGGAGGGGAATTCTGTTCAACAAAATTTGACCAGTTTTGTGCGAGCAATGGGATTGTAAGACAGAAGACTTCGCCCTACTCACCTCAACAGAATGGGGTGGCAGAGAGGTTGAATCGATCTCTCATGGAGAAAGCACAGAGTATGCTGAGCGGTGCAAGCTTGGCAGCTGAGTTTTGGGCGGAGGCAGTGGCTACTGCTTGTTATCTGAAGAACAGATCTCCTACATCGGCCTTGAAGGAGAAGACTCTGTATGAAGCACTGTTTGGAAAAAGACGTATCTCTTGTCAGAGTGTTTGGCTGTGAAGTATATATGCACGTACCCAACGAGAAAAGAAGCAAGCTTGACAGTAAATCTGAAAAGTGTATCTTTATTGGGTACAAGGATGGCGTCAAAGGTTATAAGTTGTGGAATCCGGATACTAGAAGTGTAACTTACAGCAGAGACGTTGTATTCAGAGAATCTAAGTTGAATCAAATTTTTCCTGAAGCTTCTGAAAAGTCACATACGGTGGAGTTGGATGTGGGTTTCAAAGCGGATACAGTAAACTCACAAGTTGAATTGGGAAATTTGAATTCTGAAGCTGCTAAATATAACGAGGTAGAGGATGAATTTTCTGAAACCGAGGCTGAGGTTGAAGCACCAGTGCTGAGGAGATCCACGAGGGAAAGAAGACCATCTGAGAGGTATACACCTGAAAATTATATCCTGTGTGCTAGTGATGATGTTTGTGCATTTAGTATTACAAGTGATGATCCGAGCATTGTAAAACATGCGAGGAGCTCGGAGGATGCCAAACAGTGGGAGGAAGCTATGAAAGAAGAGATGAAGTCTCTGATGAAAAATCAAACTTGGAGTTTGGTGAATCTACTGCAGACCGAAAAGCAATTGGTTGCAAGTGGGTGTTCAAGAAGAAGGTTAGTGCCAATGGGGAGATTGAGCGCTACAAGGCTCGATTGGTTGCAAAGGGATATTCACAGACAAAAGGGGTTGATTATGGTGAGGTGTTTTCACCTGTTGCAAAATTAAATTCCATAAGACTGGTTTTGTCTGTAGCAGTTGCATATGACCTAGAGGTGGAGCAGCTGGATGTGAAGACGGCTTCCCTTCATGGTGATTTGGAGGAGGTTATTTTCATGAAGCAACCAGAGGGGTTCATTGCAAGAGGCAAAGAGGAGCTAGTTTGCAAGCTGAATAAATCTCTGTATGGCCTGAAGCAGTCCCCGAGGATGTGGTACATGAAGTTCGACACTTATGTGTTGAAGCTTGGCTTTGACCGCTGTGATGCTGATCACTGTGTTTATGTGAAAATGTTAGAAGGTGACTTTGTTATTCTAACTTTGTATGTTGACGACATGTTACTCGTTGGAAACAGTTTGAAGATGATCATCACTGTTAAAGGACTGCTAGCAAAACAGTTTGAAATGAAAGATCTAGGTGTTGCAAATTTGATCTTGGGTATGCAGATTAAGAGGGAGCGTGACAAAGGAAGATTATGGTTAAGTCAGCGGAAGTATATAGAAGATGTTCTGAAGAAATTCAAGATGACTGACTGCAAGCCTGTGTTGACTCCCATGTCTACTGGTTCTAAGTTATCGGTTGACCAGTGTCCCAAGACTGAAGAAGAAAAAGAGGAGATGGCGTCAGTTCCTTATGCTAGTGCAGTTGGGAGTCTGATGTATGCCATGATTTGTACTCGCCTTGATATTGCTCAAGCAGTGGGAGTATTGAGCAGGTATATGTCCAAGCCAGGAAATGAGCATTGGACAGCTGTGAAGCGTGTGTTCCGCTATCTTCGCAGTACGTCTGACCTTGGGTTATGCTATGAAGGCGTGAAGGGCTCAAGGGGACAGACATTGTTAGAACTGAGATGCTTTGTGGATGCTGATTGGGGAGGTGACATTGATAGTAGAAGGTCTACAAGTGGATATGTTGTTTCATCATTCGGTGGAGCTATCAGTTGGATGAGTAAGAGGCAGAGCACTGTTGCTTTATCTACTACAAAGGCTGAGTACATGGCCTTGACACATGCTGATAAGGAAGCTATTTGATTACGGAGGTTGTGCAATGAGCTTGGCTTTGCACAAGGAGAGATGATTGTTGGGTGTGACAGTCAGAGCGCCATTTTCTTGGCTAAGAACCCAGGTTTCCATGCGAGGACTAAGCATATCGGCATACAGTACCACTTCATCAGAGAGAAGATTGAAGACAAGGTTGTATTGCTGGAGAAGGTTGACACAAAGGTCAACAATGCTGATTTTCTGACCAAGGCAGTGACTTCAGAGAAGTTTGAATGGTGTACAGCTGCATTGGGATTGAAGAAACATGTGAAGCATTCACCAAGTGGGAGAATGTTGGGTATGGCACATACTTCGCATGTTGATGAAGGCCCTAGTTGTCGGGGTCAGCAGAAAGGCAACTAGGCCCATGAATAGCTATTGTTAGGGTTTTCTAATCCTATTTAAATTTGTCTTGTAAACCGAGTGACTTGTAACGAGTGGCAGTGAGATGAATATAATACAGACAAGCTGGACGTAGCCTATATTGGGTGAACCAGGGTAAATCGATGTGTCTAATTTCTCTACTCTTATCTCTTTTTCTGTTTTCTCGATTCTGTGTAATTGTCGATTTCCAACAGTACCTATCTGATTGTGAATAAGTAAGTTTTTGAATAAGTAAGTGAGAAGGAGGTGACACTTATTTTTGTAAAAAGAATCCAAACTTCATATGAATTACAAACTCATATTTTTCCCTTATTCGATAAATCAAAAGGAGTAAAAGTCTTGTTAAAAATTTGGAACAATACCGTAAATTTAGCAAAAGAACTTTTGAAACATTTCTTCATTTTTTTTCTTGTAAAGAATGATTCATTCAACTCTACGAAATATGACTCTTTCATAGATATTGACCAGTTAATTTTAATTTTTTTTAGGGACAGAATCCTTTAACACCGGTATCAAATTTGAAGTTTGACACCTGAGAGCCGTTAGATCAAAAACAATTAACGACTCTGATTTGTAAGCATATGAAACCATTCATCATTTTTGATCTAACGGCTTTCAGATGAGGTGTCAAACTTTAAATTTGACATTTTTTTTTAATTTTTGTATGCAATTTGAGAATCCAGTTTTTGTATGGTAGTTGAGTCGTTCCGACGATCGGATCACTTTTAGGAGCATGACTCATTGTTTTTCAAAAATGAGAAAAAATGAACTATAGTTCAAAATTCTAACTCCTACGCCTATATTCTTACACATAACACTCCCAACTGTCAAGAACTCAAGGCCCCTGTTACAAGAGCTATGTAAAATAACAAGAGACGAGAGGAACATTGAAATAAATCTGTATATTGAATTAATTAAAGAGAGTACAAAATATAAAGAAATACTAATGGGCTTAACCTGTATCTAACCTAAATCCTAATGAAATAAGGAAATAGATCTTTATAAATAATAAAGATATTCTAAAGATATTCTTTTAAACAGTAATAAAGATATCCTAAAGATATTCTTTCTAACAAGCTAATTAGAAATTTAGGGTGTGTTTGAAAGTTTGGAGGGGTAGGAAACAAAGGGGATCCAATAGGGAGGGAGGGAAAGGAAAGGAAGGAACAAATGAAGGGTATTACATTCCCCTTATTTGAGAGTTAAAAATATGATAAGGGAGAAAATAAAGAGTTAATGAGATATTTTTACAATTTTATCTTTTCTTAAAAAACTAATATAATTATTAAATTTTACAAATAAATTAAATTTAAAATTTCTAAAAAAGTATGTGTAATTTTCACATTTAAAAAATAACTCTCCCTCTAAAAAGTTATTTTCTCTCTCTAAAAAATTATTTTTCTCTCTCTAAAATTGTCTATTTCACATTATAACTAAATTAAAATTATTAGAAAAATTATAAATCACTTATTTCTTATTGTGATAGCCAGAGTGTTATACATTTGGCTAAAAACCAAATGCATTATAATGAACAGACCAAATATATTAATGTCAGGTTTCAAATTATTCAAAATATTATATCAATTGGATTTATTTGGCGTGAAAAGGCCTTATACCAATCGAATCCAAGGATTAGTCAATTGTTTTCTTTTTTTCTTTTATTTTTTTGAGTAAACTCGTGGTGTCCCCATCTCATAAGATGAGACTAATCCTTTCGTGGTTTAGAGTAAGAAGATTTTCACCACCGGTCCCAGAATGCTTCTAGTAGAAATCAAATTCATGACTTCATCAGCCACCAAAATTGTTTTTAAATCATTATTGAGCAAATCTTGATGAAAAAAATTAATTTTCACCACCGGCCCAAAGTGCTTTTCGTAGAAATCAAATCTGACTTTATCAGCCACCAGAATTGTTTTTAAATCATTACTGTACAAATCTTGATGAAAAAATTTAGTTGATTAAAAATATAAGAGAACCATATATTGTATGCACAGTTAAAACCTCCACTCATTAATATATTCAACATAACGTTCCTCGACTGTCTTCAAATTACATACTACTGCTCATGATGGACTCAAATCTTTGAGTTAACACCTAAATGGAAATGCCAAATCTAAGTAACCAAAAAAGAAGCGAAAGAAACAACAAAATTCTTCATATTTGTGAAAAACTGGTCTCAACTATTGTTGGAGGAGCTAATGTCATTGGTGCTGCACTTGCTGCAGCCTTTGCAGTTGATGATGCTGTCCTGAATGTTCTTGTTGCGGCTGAGCATGATCACGGCGCTGCCTCTGCGTCGTGATAACATTCTGATTAGAAGATTGAATCTGCCTACGTGTTCTCCATCTAATATATTCCATTAGGAGAGAACTCATGCTGATTGAAATCCCAAATCCAGTGAAAGATGAAAGAAGAACTGAGAGAATCGCACTAACATTAAGCTACAAGTAGAGAAATAGGTGTGTGTTAAGATATATTTATACTTTTGCTCTCACCCTCACTCAAATGACATTTACGTTGAATTGAGGTGAAGAAACATAAGAAGCACAACATCAAGCCAAGACAGAAACAAGATAATCTTACTATAGTATAAAATACATGAGCAAACAGGAAGATAATTGCGAACTGGAAGCAAGCATAAGCCCATATGTAACTCCTGCTCACTGCCATCAAAACACACAACATGAGGTTATAAAATTTATTAAACATATTAATCATTATTAGCTAACAAGTGCTTATGTTAACGAGAAATTAATAGGTCATATCATGTTTGTTGCAGCATAAGATTAGTACAACTCCAGAGAGTCTAATGAACAGGAAAATTACAGGGTACAGGTCTTGTTCTATTCACCTCCCATGGTAGAAGCAAAAGAACGAGGTCAAGAATAGATTTATCTAACAACTTTATCCTTTTTATATTGTTGCTGTACATAGTATAGAAGTCCCACATTGAGTGTGTCTCTTTGTATTCTTCAATTGGTTTGCTATATAATAGCACCAATGTTGTGTAGTTTAATATAACAAGGATTACAATGAATACCTCTTGTCTCTTGGTAATTAACATGGTATATAGAGCCTAACAAGAGGAATCCTAATCCGCGGTTTTTCGGTGGACCACTGTCCGCTGAGTAATATTTTTTTTTTTCCGGAAACCGTCACATCTGTCAGTTTTCGGCTTCCCTATTTTGTTTCCGACCTTGTCTGAGTACTGCCGCTGTCCAGAACCACCGTTGACCGCCGCCTCCGCCGTTGACCACCGTCTCCGGCGACTTTTCCGGCGATTTTTCCGGCGAAACTCCCATCGATCTGACCGCCACAACAAGGCGGTCCTATCTGTCCAACACCCATCTCCAACACCTCAGCCACACGCCCACACGCGCGGGAGGAAGCTTCTGCCGTCCGCTTCATTGCAGCGGCGCGTGCAGCTCCGGCTGGACCTCCGACCACCACGGTTCAACTCGTCTTCTCCTTGCGCACCTGGATCTGTCCTCACTTTGTTGTTCTGACTTCGTTTCGGCTTCCGACAGTGTCTCTTTCTCTTGCTGGTCCCTATTCACGCGTGTTTCTTTGCTTTTGGTTGCTGTTCGCTTTTGTTTCAGGTGATCTATGGCTGATTTGTCACCCCACGATGTCTCCAAGGGTTTTGCACGTGGACGCAAACCCTCTACGAGACGCTTTCTCTGCACTCATTGCAAAAAGCCGGGCCATACTATTGATCGTTGCTGGGATCTTCACGGTCGCCCTCCTCGCTCCGCTCATTTTGCTCAGACTATTGTTCCTGCCTCGGACTCTGCCTTGATTGCTGGATCACAGCCACCTCCTGGTACCACTGCCTCTAGTGCACACACGGGTTATTCCTTTGCTGGTGTTTCTCACTCGCCCTCTCTTGGTCCATGGATTCTCGATTCTGGTGCATCTGACCATATTTCTGGTAATAAGTCTTTATTTACCTCTCTCTGTACGTCTGGTCCCTTGCCTAGTATCACCATATTTCCTTCTATTCCCATTGAGAATGTGCTTTATGTTCCTCATTCTCCTTTCAACCTTATTTCCATTAGTTGCTTGACTCAATCCCTTGACTGTATTATTTCTTTCACTAAAGAGTCTGTCATTTTGCAGGATCGGAGCTCGAAGAGGACACTTGGCGTCGGAACTGAGTCCAATGGCCTTTATCAGCTTTCAACTTCTATTCCAGTGTGCTCTGTTGTGGATTCTCCGCTTACTATCCACGCTCAGTTGGGTCATCCAAATCTTGCTAAGCTCCAGCAGATGGTCCCACGTTTCTCAAATTTATCTAGTTTGTCTTGTGAGTCGTGTCAGTTAGGGAAGCACACTCGTAGTTCGTTTCCCGATCGTGTCAGTCGTCGGTCTTCGTCTCCTTTTGCTTTAGTTCATTCCGATATTTGGGGTCCTAGTCGTACCGTTTCCACTATGGGGTACAGATATTTTGTAACCTTCATTGATGATTATTCTCGATGTACTTGGTTATTTTTAATGAAAAATCGGTCTGAATTGTTTTCTATTTTTAACAAGTTCTTTAATGAAATCCTTACTCAATTTGGTGTTTCGATTCGCATTTTTCGAAGTGATAATGTTCGTGAATATTTGTCTCATCAGTTTCAAACCTTCTTTGCATCTCACGGCATTCTTCACCAGACATCATGTTCACACACCCCTCAACAGAATGGGGTTGCTGAACGCAAGAACCGTCACCTAATTGAGACTACTCGGACACTTTTGTTACATGGTCATATCCCATTCCAGTATTGGGGCGATGCTGTCCTCACAGCTTGTTATCTCATTAATCGGATGCCTTCCTCCGTACTTCATAATCAGGTACCACATTCTGTGTTGTTTCCCCATCAACCTTTGTACCCACTCACTCCTCACATCTTTGGTTCTACTTGTTTTGTCCACAATCTCAATCCTGGTCTTGACAAGTTATCTGCTAAGTCACATAAATGTATTTTCCTGGGTTACCCTCGCTCACAAAAGGGTTATCGTTGTTATTCTCCTAGTCTTCGTCGTTACTTTGTCTCGGCGGATGTTACATTCTTTGAGTCTATTCCATTCTTTGACTCCTCCTCCCATCCCAGTGATTCTGTTGCTACTCAGCTACCTTTACCACCTGTTTCAGTTCACTGTATACCTTCACCATCTCCTTCTTTAGATGTCCCCGTCCTTGTTCCCGCCCCTGTTCCCCCCCTCCAGGTTTATCATCGTCGGCAACGTCCCCCTGTTCCCCAGGACCCTGCCCCTATTGTTACTGAGGCTCCTGTGGACTCACTTTCATCATCATCTCCTCCGGCAGTTCCGATCCTTCCGTCTGACATTGATGTGCTCATTGCACTCCGGAAAGGTACTCGTGATTCTCGTCCCCCTCCCCGGTATTTAATAAATTTGAGTTATCATCGTCTTTCACCATCCCATTTTTCTTGCCTCTCTTCTCTTTCTTCTGTATCTGTTCCTAAGACTACAGGTGAGGCGTTATCACATTCTGGTTGGCGACAGGCCATGATTGATGAGATGAGTGCACTTCAGAGTAGTGGTACCTGGGATCTGGTTCCCCTTCCCTCTGGGAAGTCTGTTGTTGGCTGTCGATGGATATACACGGTTAAAGTTGGTCCGGATGGTCAGGTGGACCGTCTTAAGGCCTGCTTGGTGGCTAAAGATTATACTCAGATATTTGGCCTTGACTAAGGTGACACATTTTCTCCCGTGGCGAAAATGACTTCTATTTGCCTCTTTAGTACTATGGCAGTCATTCATCACTGGCCTATGTATCAGCTGGACATAAAGAATGTTTTCCTCCATGGTGATCTGCGGGAAGAGGTTTATATGGAGCAACCTCCTGGGTTTGTTGCTCAGGGGGAGTCTAACCTAGTTTGTCGTCTCCGAAGATCCTTGTATGGTCTAAAGCAGTCTCCCCGGGCTTGGTTTGGAAGGTTTAGCACTGTTGTACAGCAGTTTGGCATGACTCGAAGTGAGGCTGATCACTCAGTCTTTTACAGACACTCTGATTCAGGTTCTATTTATTTGGTAGTATATGTTGATGATATCGTCATTACAGGTAATGATACTCATGGCATAACTCAGATAAAACAACATTTGTGCCATCATTTTCAAACAAAGGACCTTGGAAGACTCCGATATTTCTTAGGGATAGAAGTGGCCCAATCTAAAGATGGCATTGTACTATCACAGAGAAAATATGCTATGGATATTCTTGAGGAAACAGCATTGTTAAATGCTAAGCCCGTTGATACTCCTATGGATCCAAATGTCAAGCTTTTACCAAATCAGGGGGAGCTATTTTCTGATCCAGAAAGGTATAGAAGATTGGTTGGGAAACTGAACTATCTCACAGTTACTCGACCAGACATTTCCTTTGCAGTCAGTGTAGTAAGTCAGTTCTTGAATTCTCCCTGTGAAGATCACTGGAATGCAGTAATCCGTATCCTCAAGTACATCAAGACTGCTCCTGGCAAAGGTATTCTCTATGAAAACAAAGGTCATACCAGAGTTGTAGGATACTCAGATGTTGATTGGACAGGTTCTCCTATTGATAGAAGATCCACTTCTGGGTATTGTGTATTCATTGGAGATAACTTGATTTCCTGGAGAAGTAAGAAGCAAAGTGTAGTTGCTAGATCAAATGCTGAAGCAGAATATCGCTCCATGGCCACAGCTACCTATGAACTCATCTGGTTAAAACAGCTACTGAAGGAACTCAAGTTTGGAGACACTGGCCCGACATCTCTCATTTGTGATAATCAAGATGCTTTGCATATTGCTTCAAATCCAGTGTTTCATGAAAGGACTAAGCACATTGAGATAGATTGTCATTTCCTTAGGGAAAAGGTTCTCTTAGGAGATATAGTCACTCGTTTTGTCAACTCAAATGATCAATTAGCTGATGTATTTACTAAGTCTTTGAGAGGACCTAGGATAGACCAGATATGTAACAAGCTTGGTGCATACGATCTATATGCTCCAGCTTGAGGGGGAGTGTTGTTGTACATAGTATAGAAGTCCCACATTGAGTGTGTCTCTTTGTATTCTTCAATTGGTTGGCTATATAATAGCACCAATGTTGTGTAGTTTAATATAACAAGGATTACAATGAATACCTCTTGTCTCTTGGTAATTAACCTATACATTCCTAAATGAAACGAACAAATACAGAAAATTGAGTGTTCCAATAAAAAGTTTAAAAATAAAGATGAAAACTATAGCTGTTAGCAATTATGTTTCTTTGAATTAACCAAATTTAACTGCACCCACTTTTGCCAATATCCAAAAATCCAATCTGTGGATTCTTAGCCCAATATTTACTTAGACATGTCAGTCACCAGTACAGTATAAACAACCATGTATCATAAACTAATGACAAGTTTTGTTGGGAATGGTACGAAGGAGCCCAAAACCTTTGCAAAGGATTTATTCACCAATGGGCCAAATGAGAAATCACAGTAAGTGAGCTGACACCATATCTCAACCCAAAACCTTAAGGCTTTAGGTTTATGGGTCTTTTACACTTATATGGTCCTCAATTGGTCCAAGTCTAGCCTATGTGAGACTTATTTCACCACTACACTCACTCACACTTGATTATTTCCAACAAGTTTGAACAGCATCTAACCCTACCTGTGATTAATTGGTCCTTCATTGTAAAGTGAAACAAAGGTTTCTCCTTGCTTCCTACTCATCTTATTTCGTTGACATATCTAAATTTCAACAGTATCCAATCCTTTGAAGATACAGTTATGGTTTCATTTGTAATAAGACCCAAATACTATGATTCAATGCTTTTAGGGGCTTGTTTTGCTAAAGGAATTCGAGGGAAGGTTATTCTTGCAGTTTGAAGGTTGCTTCTTGTTTTTTTTTTTTTTTTTGGAATTTAAATAACTTTGGACCTTGCAGTGTTGTGTGTACAATTTCTTGCAGAGTAATTTACACCCTGCATCTTTCCAACGGTTTCTCCTACTTGACCATGCAACTTTCCAACCAGCTCTTTTGGTTGTGTGCATCATCACTGCCATTATGTTATCATTACAACAATACTCATTTTCCATATTGCCTCTCCTGCATCTCTTCAACAGTAGAGGTTAGTAATTGGCATAGTAGTAGAGATTCATCAACATATTTAGCACATGTAGAAATATTAGTTACTCGTATTTATGACTGTAATAATTACTTAGTTGTTAGTTAGTGTTGTAAATAATATTGATTTAGTTATTATTTAGTTTATTGTTGTATTGGGCCAAGCCCTTTGTTGTATTGGGCCAAGGCCTTTAGGTTAAAAGTAGGTCACATATTCTCTATAAATAGAGAATCCCTTGTACACATTATTTACAATTCTAAAATATATCAGAATACCCTTTTTCAAGTTGGTATCAGAGCTCTCGATCTTGAGGGCTCTGCTTCCGCGCCTACGAAACCCTTTTTTGTTTTCCATCTCTCGCTGCCATCAGCCGCCACCGGAAAAATTTTCCAGGGACCTCTTGGACCGAGAGATCACTGCTTCTCTTTGTTTTTCTCTCATCTTCCTCAATAACAAGACCCCAAACTGAACCGTTCCACGTCACCTCCAAACAGAAGCGTTTTTCACTAACCAAGAACACTGTTCATCGCGATTGACCTTCTTTTTGGCAGCCATTCAACTCCGATCAGCCCCAGATAGGTTCGCAACCCTTGGACGACCTTCGCCTGAAAAGCCCAGCCCGATCGGACGTCAGACGTGCCTCCACGCGCCGCTTCTTTCCCTGCGCGTGAATCTCACGCGCCGCCAGCTTCACCGGCGCGTGACAGCGCGTGACAGTTGCTATTGGCTGCGGACCGGTGCAGTCTTGACCGACTCTCCAAGCTCGTTCTGGATCTGTGCTCACCTCTTTGATCGGACCTCGTTTGGTAATTTTTCGTGATTTTTTGGCTTCTTGGTACTATTCCTTGAGTTGTTTTGCAGTATGGCCGCTTCCGACGGTGATTCAACTCTAAACTTATCTGAAAAAAATTCTACCTCATCTGTGGTGACCCCTCTTGGTCACAATGATCTTCCAAATCTACATTAGAGTTATCGATTTGACGGATCAAATTTTTTGTCATGGTCTCAGTTCATTCGTACTACCATCAAGAGTCGCAATAAGATTGCTCATCTTGATGGCCCTGCTCCTGCTGCCACGGATCCCGATTTTGCTGTTTGGGATAATGAGGATTCTCTTATCATGACTTGGTTGTGGAATTCGATGACTCCTGAAGTGGGTCGTCATTGTATGTTCTTGTCTTCTGCTATGGAGATTTGGGAAACTGTCCGCTCCACTTATTCCTTGAAACAGGATATGGCTGCGCGCTATGAATTGCGCAATAAAATATTCACTACAAAACAAGATTCTTTATCCGTGACTGAGTACTATGGCACCTTGAAGGAGTTATGGACTGAACTTGATCAATTTCAGAGTTTGAAGATGAAATGTACTGCAGATGCTACTGCTTTAGCCAAGGAGGTAGAAAATGAGCGTATTTTTTATTTTCTTGCTGGTTTGAATTCCGAGTATGATCCTATTCGGGTTCAAATACTTGGCAAAGAAACTTTTCCATCCCTTTCTGCTGTTTTCAATACTGTTCGGGGAGAGGAGAATCGTCGGGGTGTTATGATGAACCCTGATAAATCTGTCATGTTATCATCAAAAGATGGTGCTGCTTCTAAACCCACTGATGGGTCTGCTATGATTTCAACAAAAAAAGATGGTTCTACTTACAGGAGTTCCTTTCCAAAATATTCTGATGGAGCATCTTCTAGACCTAAGAAAGATGATCGCTGGTGTTCTTATTGTAAAAGAACAGGTCATATCAAGGATCTATGCTATCGCCTCCATGGAAAACAAACTGTCTTAGAAAAGATGGCAAGGATGCGTGGTCAAGCGCATTTTACTTCTTCTGATATAGCTCCTACACCTAATGAGACCCAACCTGCATTTCGTCCAGATGAGTTGGAACGACTTCGAACCATACTTGATTCTCTGAGTAAGCCATCTGGTACTAGTGATTTGGCTATGACTGGTATGAGCTCCAAAATTTCTTCTTTTCTTACTTCATGTATTGATTTTAAACATTCTTGGGTTGTTGATTCTGGTGCTACTGATCATATGGCTTGTTGTGCTGACCCCTTTGTTTCTTATAACCCTACCATTGGCACTCATACGATAGCCGTAGCTGATGGCTCCCATACATCAGTTGCGGGTTCTGGTAACATAAAATTACAGCCTTCCTTACATCTCAAAGATGCTCTTCATGTCCCTAAACTTTCTACTAATCTTCTTTCTATTCATAAAATTACAAAAGATTTAAATTGCACTGTAACCTTCTTTCCTACTCACTGTGTTTTTCAGGATCTCGCCACAGGGAAGACGATTGGGGGTGCTAAAGAGCAAGGTGGGCTGTATTATCTGGTGTCACAATCTCCTGCAACTCATGTTAAGGATCACATCTTACTGTCACATGGCCAGTCAACTGCTGATTCTCTGATTTGGCTTCATCATAAGCGCTTGGGACATCCTCCATTTAGTTTACTCAAGTCTTTATTTCCGTCTTTGTTTTTGTCTAAGTCTGTTGAGTCTTATCATTGTGATGTTTGTGAGTTTGCTAAGCATCATCGTGTGTCTTTCCCTTCTAGTATTACTAAAAGTGTTGAACCTTTTGATCTTATTCATTCTGATGTTTGGGGTCCTTCTAAGGTCCCTCATTCTTCTGGAAATAAATGGTTTGTTTCTTTTATTGATGATTGCACTCGTGTAACTTGGGTTTACTTAATGCATGAAAAGTCTGAGGTACCAAAACTGTTCTTTCAATTTTATAAAATGATTGAGACTCAATTTTGTAAAAAAATCAAAAGACTAAGGACAGATAATGGTACTGAATATGTCAATCACTCTTTTTCCCAATTTATACAAAATCAAGGTATGATTCATGAACTTACATGTGTAGACACCCCTCAACAAAATGGGGTTGCTGAAAGGAAAAATCGTCACCTTCTTGAAGTTGCTCGTGCCTTATTGTTTCAAACACATGTACCCAAATGCTATTGGGGAGATGCCATTCTTACTGCAGCATTCTTGATCAATCGTCTACCCACTCGGGTTCTCGATCATGTAAGTCCTATTCACTCCATGACTTCTTTTTTTTCTTCTATTCCAACTTTGCAAAGTCTTCCTCCTCGAGTGTTTGGGTGTGTTGTCTTTGTTCATATTCATAAACAGCATCGCAGTAAGTTGGATCCTAGGGCTCTTAAATGTGTCTTCCTTGGATATGCTCCTGATAAGAAGGGCTACAAGTGTTATCACCCTGGAAGTCGGAAATTTTTTGTTTCTATGGATGTTACATTTCAGGAATCTGAGTCCTTTTTCCAAGGTCCTCATCTTCAGGGGGAGAATGATTCACCAGAAGACTCATCACCTTCCTTCTTTGAAACTTCAGTGTCTACTCCTTCACCTGTGTCAGTGTCTCTTCCTCTTGTTCCTGTTCCTAATGTGTCTGTGACTGATCCTCCTATGACTGATACATCAAGTACACAAGAGATACGGAAGATTGTAACACCTGAATTGGTATATCAAAGAAGGAAACAGCCCACATTGCCTCAACAGCAACCTCAATCGTCTGAACCACTGGTAAGTCCTGAATCTCATATTTCTGATCATGATACTTCTGATGACTTACCCATTACTACTGCTTCTGATGATTTACCCATTGCTTTAAGAAAAGGAAAAAGATCTTGTTCCAAGAAATCTTGTTCTTCCTGTCCCTCTTGTACTCAATACCCTATCTCCCATTTTGTTTCCTCTGCTAATCTTTCTGTGCAGCACAAAAGCTTTGTTTCAGCACTAGATTCTACTTCAATCCCAAAATCAGTACATGAAGCTTTGAGAGATGGGAATTGGGCTCAAGCCATGCAAGAGGAGATGAATGCGTTGGAGAAAAATAAAACATGGGAGGTTATTGATAGACCCAACGGAAAGAAAGCAGTAGGGTGCAGATGGGTTTATACCCTAAAATATAATTCTGATGGCACTCTTGAGAGATACAAGGCTCGATTAGTCGCCAAAGGTTACACTCAAACCTATGGCATTGATTATGAAGAAACCTTTGCTCCAGTTGCAAAAATGAATACAGTGAGAATCTTGTTGTCCCTTGCTGCCCATTACAATTGGGATATAAATCAATTTGATGTGAAAAATGCTTTCCTCAATGGTGAGTTAGAAGAAGAAGTCTACATGGAAATCCCGCGTGGTTTTGATTCTGTGAAGGGGGAAAATAAAGTTTGTCGATTAAAAAAAGCCTTGTATGGATTGAAGCAGTCACCTCGTGCTTGGTTTGGGAGGTTTACTAAGGTTATGATGACCTTAGGATATAGACAGAGTCAAGGAGATCACACTCTTTTCTTTAAGCACTCCCAAAACGGGAAGCTTACTGTGCTCCTTGTATATGTTGATGATATTATTATCACAGGTAATGATTTTGTGGAGAGACAGATTCTGCAGACACGACTTGCCTCTGAGTTCGAAGTCAAAGACCTTGGGAAACTGAGATATTTCCTAGGGATAGAAGTAGCTCATTCAAGCAAAGGAATTTTTATCAGCCAAAGGAAATATGTTCTTGATCTTCTCAAAGAAGCAGGAAAGCTCGGGTGTAAACCCTCTAATACTCCTATTGAGCAGAATCACAAGATGGGCTATGAAGAAGAGAGTCCTCCAGTTGATAAAGGACAATATCAACGGCTAGTTGGGAAATTGATATATCTGGCCCATACTAGACCAGACCTAGCTTATGTTGTTAGTGTTGTCAGTCAGTTTATGCACAATCCAAAGGAAAAACACATGCAGGCTGTAGAGAGAATTCTTCAGTATCTTAAAGGTACTCCTGGTAAAGGATTGTTATTCCGACGTGATGGCAATCTATCTTTAGAAGTCTACACAGATGCTGATTACGCTGGATCCATGACTGACCGTCGTTCTACCACTGGTTATTGCATGTTTCTTTGCGGTAACTTGGTGACATGGAGAAGTAAGAAACAAGATGTGGTTGCCAGATCAAGTGCAGAAGCTGAATTTCGAGCTATGGCTCAAGGCATTTGTGAGTTACTGTGGCTGAAAATTGTACTTGATGATCTCAAAATAAAATGTGAGGGACCTATGAAGCTGCTATGTGATAATAAGTCCGCTATTTGTATAGCTCATAATCCAGTTCAACATGATCGGACTAAACATATTGAGGTCGACCGCCATTTCATCAAAGAGAAACTTGATAGCGGGTTGATTACCACTCCATACATTCCCACTGGGCGTCAATTAGCTGATCTATTAACAAAGGGGCTTCCTTCAGACAGATTTCAAGAACTTACTAGCAAGCTAAGAATGATAAATATCTATTCCTCAGCTTGAGGGGGAGTGTTGTAAATAATATTGATTTAGTTATTATTTAGTTTATTGTTGTATTGGGCCAAGCCCTTTGTTGTATTGGGCCAAGGCCTTTAGGTTAAAAGTAGGTCACATATTCTCTATAAATAGAGAATCCCTTGTACACATTATTTACAATTCTAAAATATATCAGAATACCCTTTTTCAAGTGTTAGCATTACAAGTAGTCCTTGATTAGCTCTCTTTCTTAATATACTCATAGTATAAACAAGATGGAATGTGTAAGCTAGACACAATTTCTCTCAAGCACTCTATTTCAACAATTTTCATACTTCATCGACAAAAAACTAACCAGCCTAAAAAAGAAATAAAAAAGAGAAAATTAAGCGAACTAAAATTACTTTGATATGCTAAGAAAAACAGAAGGAAGCATGTTTACCCATTGTTGACGCAATCATAGATGAAAGGAGACCTAAAACACATGAGAAAGGTAATGAAATGGCAAGAGCGCGAAGGCCCAAATCTGAAACCTGGAACACTAGAAATCGTTTAGTCAAACATACTTCCATTTTGTACAAAACATTTTAGAAGAAATCAAAGGGGAAAAAAATAATAATAATAATACAAAATGGGAGACGTATAAAACATTATCCCGCACTTTCCATATATACAACATTAATAAAGATGGCCTTCTAGTAAGTATTAAATAGTCAAAGAAACAGTACCTCTTTTATTTTTAGAATACATTCACTCATGAGCAAAAATGTGTGGCATGGCATAATTCATTAAGGAGTGATTTGACTAATATAGTGACATCATAGATAAATTGCAAATTGAAAAAAAAGTCACCTCCCAAAAATTGGCTCCTAAAATTTAGAAAGCACCTAATTTTTAAAACAGTATTTGCAATGTTTTACTAAATCTGAGAGGTCCACACCAATGCAATATGTTTTACAAAATCTGATAGTTACTTTCAGAAATCTTTCAAGTCACATTCATGCCCTCTGTCCCTCTCACTACTAGTGTTCTGTCCTGTGTTTCTTTTTCTTCTTTTTTTCTTTTATACGCAATGCATCTATTTGTTTATTTCATCCTGATTTCCATATTTTGTACTCAGCAGCAACAAACAGCAGTTGAGAACTTACCTACGAAATTTACTCCACCAACTCTTTCTTTATGCCCAATCCAGTTTGTAGCGATCTGAATCTTCATACTGCTCTAAACAGTGTCTATTCTTATTCATAGGTCATCACACTCATCACTATAGATATTCTTAGTTACGGTCTTCTCTATAGATATTCATTGCTCTTGCCAATATTGTTCTCTTCACTTACTCATTTCTCCTGGTTTCTTGCATGGTGATTGTCGAGGAAATTACATGGAGCAAACTTGAAAAAAAGTATTCTAATATTATTGAATTGTGTATTAATCTGATACAAAGAGGTCTCTATTTATAGAGACTAAAAAACCTAATTCTTGACCTAATGGGCTTGGCCCAATACAACAAATACTAATAATAATAAAAGACCTAATATTTACAACACTCCCCCTTAAGCTGAGGAATAGATATTTATCATTCTCAGCTTGCTAGTAAGTTCTTGAAATCTGTCTGAAGGAAGTCCCTTTGTCAATAGATCAGCTAATTGACGCCCAGTGGGAATGTATGGAGTGGTAATGAACCCGCTATCAAGTTTCTCTTTGATGAAATGGCGGTCGACCTCAATATGTTTAGTTCGATCATGTTGAACCGGATTATGAGCTATAGAAATAGCGGACTTATTGTCACAGAGCAGCTTCATAGGTCCCTCACAATTTATTTTGAGATCATCAAGTATAATTTTCAGCCACACTAACTCACAAATGCCTTGAGCCATAGTTCGAAATTCAGCTTCTGCACTTGACCTGGCAACCACATCTTGTTTCTTACTTCTCCATGTCACTAAGTTACCGCAAAGAAACATGCAATAACCAGTGGTAGATCGACGGTCAGTCACGGATCCAGCATAATCAGCATCAGTGTAGACTTCTAAAGAGAGATTGACATCACGTCGGAATAACAATCCTTTACCAGGAGTACCTTTAAGATACTGAAGAATTCACTCTACTACTTGCATGTGTTTCTCCTTTGGGTCGTGCATAAACTAACTGACAACACTAACAGCATAAGCTAGGTCTAGTCTAGTATGAGCCAGATATATCAATTTCCCAACTAGCCGTTGATATTGTCCTTTATCAATTGGAGGACTCTCCTCTTCATAGCCTATCTTATGATTCTGCTCAATAGGAGTATTAGAGGGTTTACACCCGAGCTTTCCTGCTTCTTTGAGAAGATCAAGAACATATTTTCTCTGGCTGATAAAAATTCCTTTCCTTGAATGAGCTACTTCTATCCCTAGGAAATATCTCAGTTTCCCAAGGTTTTTGACTTCAAACTCAGAGGCAAGCCGTGTTTGCAGAATCTGTTTCTCCACAAAATCATCGCCTGTGATAATAATATCATCAACATATACAAGGAGCACAGTAAGCTTCCCATTATGGGAATGCTTGAAGAAAAGAGTGTGATCTCCTTGACTCTGTCTGTATCCTAAGGTCATCATAACCTTAGTAAACCTTCCAAACCAGGCACGAGGTGACTGCTTCAATCCATACAAGGCCTTTTTTAATCTACAAACTTTATTTTCTCCTTTCACAGAATCAAAACCAGGCGGGATTTCCATGTAGACTTCTTCTTCTAACTCACCATTGAGGAAAGCATTTTTCACATCAAATTGATTTATATCCCAATCGTAATGGGCAGCAAGGGACAACAAGACTCTCACCGTATTCATCTTTGCAACTGGAGCAAATGTTTCTTCATAATCAATGCCATAGGTTTGAGTGTAACCTTTGGCAACTAATCGAGCTTTGTATCTCTAAAGAGTTCCATCAGAATTATATTTCAGGGCATAAACCCATATGCACCCTACTGGTTTCTTTCCATTAGGTCTATCAATAACCTCCCATGTTTTAATTTTCTCCAACGCATTCATCTCCTCTTGCATGGCTTGAGCCCAATTCTCATCTTTCAAGGCTTCATGTACTGATTTTGGGATTGCAATAGAGTCTAGTGCTGAAACAAAGCTTTTGTGCTGCACAGAAAGATTAGCAGAGGAAACAAAATGGGAGGTAGGGTATTGAGTACAAGAGGGACAGGAGGAACAAGATTTCTTAGGACAAGATCTTTTTCCTTTTCTAAGAGCAATAGGTAAATCATCAGAATCAGTAGTAATGGGTAAGTCATCAGAAGTATTAACATCAAGATCAGAAATATGAGATTCAGGACTTACCAGTGGTTCAGACGATTGAGGTTGCTGCTGAGGCAATGTGGGTTGTTTCCTTCTTTGATATACAAACTCAGGTGTCATAATCTTCCGTATCTCTGGTGAACTTGATGTATCAGTCACAGGAGGATCACTCACAGGAGGATCAGACACAGAAGGAACAGGAACAATAGGGACAAGAGGAGGATACACTGACACAGGTAAAGGAGTAGACACTGAAGACTCAAAGAAGGGAGGTGATGAGCTTTCTGGTGAAGGATTCTCCCCCTGAAGATGAGGACCTTGGAAAAAGGACTTAGATTCTTGAAATGTAACATCCATATAAACAAAAAATTTCCTACTACCAGGGTGATAGCACTTGTAGCCCTTCTTATTGGAAACATAACCAAGAAAAACAAATTTAATAGCCCTAGGGTCCAACTTACTGCGATGATGTTTATGAACATGAACAAAAGCAACACACCCAAACACTCGTGGAGGAAGACTCATAGTTGGAATAGAAGGAAAAAAAGAAGTTATAGAGTGAATAGGACTTACATGGTCAAGTACCCGAGTGGGTAAACGGTTGATCAAGAATGCTGCAGTAAGAATAGCATCTCCCCAATAGTATTTGGGTACATGTGTCTGAAACATTAATGCACGAGCCACTTCAAGAAGGTGACGATTTTTTCTTTCAGCAACCCCATTCTATTGAGGGGTGTCAACACAAGTAAGTTCATGAATCATACTGTTATTTCGTATAAATTGGGAAAAACTGTGATTAACATATTCAGTACCATTATCTGTTCTTAGTCTCTTGATTTTTTTACCAAATTGGGTCTCAACCATTTTATAAAATTGAAAGAACAAATGTGGTACCTCAGACTTTTCATGCATTAAGTAAACCCAACTTACACGAGTGCAATCATCAATAAAAGAAACAAACCATCTATTTCCAGAAGCATGAGGGACTTTAGAAGGACCTCAAACATCAGAATGAATAAGATCAAAAGGTTAAACACTCTTAGTACTACTAGAAGGAAAAGACACACGATGATGCTTAGCAAACTCACAAACATCACAATGAAAAGACTCAACAGACTTAGACAAAAACAATGATAGAAATAAAGACTTGAGTAAACTAAAAGGAGGATGTCCCAAACGCTTATGATGAAGCCAAATCAAAGAATCAGCAGTTGATTGACCATGAGTCACGAAGATGTGATCTGTTACTTTATTTGCGGGAGATTGTGACACAAGATAGTACAGCCCACCTTGCTCTTTAGCACTACCAATCGGCTTCCCCGTGGCGAGATCCTGAAAAACACAATGGGTAGGGAAGAAGGTTACAGTACAATTCAAATCTTTTATAATTTTATGAATAGAAAGAAGATTCGTGGAGAGTTTAGGAACATGAAGAGCATCTTTAAGATGTAAGGACTGCTGTAAGTTTATGTCACCAGAACCCGCAACTAATGTATGTGAGCCATCGGCTATGGCTATTGTATGAGTTCCAATGGTAGGATGATAAGAAGTAAAGGAGTCAGCACAACAAGCCATATGATCAGTAGCACCAGAATCAACAACCCAAGAATGCTTAAAATCATTACATGAAGAAATGAAAGAATGAGATTTGGAGCTCATACCAATCATAGCCAAAGCACTAGTATCAGATGGCTTACTCAGATAATCAAGGATGGTTCGGAGCCATTCCAATTCATCTGGACGAAATGCAGGTTGGTCTCATTAGGTGCAGGAGTTATTTCAGAGGAAGGAAGATGCGCTTGACCACGCATCCTTGCCATCTTTTCTAAGACAGTTTGCTTTCCATGGAGGCGAAAGCATAAATCCTTGATATGACCTGTTCTTTTACAATAAGAACACCATCGATCATATCTCTTAGGTCTAGAAGATGCACCATCATAAAACTTTGTAAAGGAACTCCTTTGAGAAGAGGCCATACTGCACAAAAAATGGTCAAAGAAAAGCTCCAAGAAGCCAAAAAATACGGAAAAAATACCAAACGATGTCCGATCTGAGAAAACAACACAGAACCAGAAAGAAGACAAGAAGACGAGAAGAACTGCACTGGTCCGCCGCCGAGAACCGTCGCTACGCGTCGGTGGAGTGGTCTGCGAGTGGGCTTCACGCGCCGATGAAGGAGAGGCGCGTGTGGGAGCGTGCAGTGGTCTTCCGAGCTGAGATTTATGGGGCGGCGTCGTCCAGCGAGCGCGGTTCTATCTGGGGCTGGTCGGAGTTGAAAAAGCCGTCGGGAAAAGGTCCAAACGCGATGAAACAGATTCTGTCTTTTTTGAAAAAACGCGATGAACAGTAACAGAGGTGATGAACAGTAACAGCGATCTGATTTTTAACGTGACTGAAGGTGTTTGATGAGGAAAAACAGAGGTCTTCTCAGTCCAAGAGGTCCCCGGAAAAAAAATTCCGGTGGCGGCTGATGGCAGCGAGAGACGAAAAGAATAAAAGGTTTTTTTCTAAAGACAATAGGTGCGGAAGCAAAGCCCTCAGGATCGAGAGCTCTGATACCAACTTGAAAAAAGGTTTCTAATATTATTGAATTGTGTATTAATCTGATACAAAGAGGTCTCTATTTATAGAGACTAAAAAACCTAATTCTTGAACTAATGGGCTTGGCCCAATACAACAAATACTAATAATAATAAAAGACCTAATATTTACAACAAGCAATCTGTGATGTTTGGTGTTAATCAGGATCGGTTTGTAGTTTGAGAGAATATTTATACAACTGGAAAAACAGTTTCCTAATGCATAGTTTAGTTGCTTTGGTGGAGTTGTGACAGGTTTTGGTCTTCACAGATGTGGGATATCATTCAAAATATAATAGCCACACTCATCTTACAAATGCTTCAGGCCAAATAATTATTAAAATATACTTTGGGCGCTAAGTTTCCAAGTTACTTGAGAATTTGGCTCCCCAGCAGAAAATGTTAAACTTGTAGAGTGCGACAGATATACATGGGTCCAATTCCAAACCAATTAATAATGGAATAGATCCTAAAATTAAGGGTGGCAACAAATTGAGAATTGTCTAGTTTTGGGTAAGTACCATGTCTAAAATAATTGTAACCACTCCTCGAAATATTACATGTTCAAGACAAATTATAGCTAAGCCAGTGGTTCAGAAGGTCCATGTAATTGACTACAAATTTCAGCTTCATCCTTGTAATTTGTGTGTAGGTGACATGGCTTGAGGCAGGGAGTGGGATGGAAGACAGCGGCACGGCTTAGGTATGTGGATGGCCAGAATGTTGTCTCTGTAAGGAACCAATTCAACGCAAAAGCTTAGTGAGGCTACATTAATGGTTTTTATATATCTCTAACACACCCCCTCACACAAGAGAGCTCATTGGACTTGAAAGATGGATAATGCATCAGGCCCAGCCTACAAGAGAGCTCATTTCCGAGACACCAAGGCTCTGATACTATGTAAAGAACCAATACGTTTCAAATCTAGGGGTTATGGGACCCAGCCGGAAAATTGACAGTAAGCAAATGCTTGCCAGAATGAGGCAGGCAGGGCGGGCTTGCCGTCATTGAGGCACGGTGAGGAGGAAAAAGGTTGTTGGGTAGGGGGAACAGCATGTGTGCGAGATTTGCCACTATGTAGTGGGCACAGTGGATCTAGGGTATAAAACCATTATGTATGTAGATCTAACAACTTAAGCTCTGAGGATAGTCGGTTCATGTCTCTATCCTTATATTAAAAGGTTGAATTTCAGCATAACTTAAGTGTGCCTATGCATTGTGCACGGCTTTAAGCCCAAAAGACTCTTGCATGTGGGGGCATGCTAGATATATACTATAAAACTATTTATGTATCTTCACCTAACAATTTAAACTTTTGAGATAGTTAGTTCATGACTCCTAGTACCAACTTGAATTTTAGAGAGGAAATCTGATTAGGTGAATTTGTGTGTCCGTCCACACAGTCTATATTATATTAGCGTGGGTATTATGTACAATGATTTAGTCCGTGATATGCATAATCTCAACTGGTACTATATACATGATATCTCACAGTAAGCATATTGTAACACATTACATATTTAGTCAAGATATTTTAAAATTTTCAATTGTCAATTTAATCTTATAATTTCAAACCAGCTCCAATATAGTACCTGACCACTACAGTTTGTTTCATTTGTAGTCTATAAGTATAATGATATAACATTTTTGGTCAGAATGTTTCCAAGATCAGTAGCATACCAGTAGTTCCTCTAGAAAACAAAAGTATGCAAGCACGCTGACCAAGACAAGTACTGGTACATCCTCCCATATCCTGTACAGAAGTGCATTATAATTAGAAAGCCAGCAATTGCCTAGTACGTTGTCACTAGTTTGTAGACCTAATATTGTCTCCTAATAATTGTGCGACTTTGTTAAAATTCAGAAATAAGCACATTTATTATTACACAATCCACTCTCCATATTGGCTTTTCCTCCATATTTTGGAGCAATTTCATTGATTATCTACAGTAATTCACCAGTAATTAAATCTTCAAATTGCAGCCATTGAAACCTATTCGAAATGTCTTGTAATTAGTGTCTAGGTAAAGCCAATTACTGCTCTAATTGAGGAGCAATTTTGGAACGCAATTACTATTTTAATTATGACTTACTCACTAGTATAAATATATACTTTTGTGGTCGGGCTTAGACATGCAATTCAGCATTCTCTATAATTTCAAGTTTGTTGCACAGCCCAGCAGCCAATTATATACCAATGTCTGTTTGGCTTGTTCGGTAAATCTCGGGTTTTCCTCAACAGTTTGGAGCAGTTTCTTTTGATTAAGTACACAATAGTTCTTCAAGTACTGAATATATAAAGTTAACTTGCGGCTAATGAAACCTAACAACCCCAGATATGACTTATGCAATACTACAACCAGCCTTCCTATCAAAAGAAAAACCAGAATAATGAAATGGGCTGGTCTTTGTACTTATATGTTCTATTACTATATGATCTCAAAGTCTACCCTAGATCACAAGGCCTAGCAAATACGACAAGAAGAACTTTTCAGGTCTCTACTATATTAATTTGAGAGGGAATTGAACATAAAAATGACTAGCACATTGAGGTAATCAAACTTACCTATAATAAGCTATTTGTCTCTGCTGTGGTGCATTCATTGGCTGCCGAGCAACAGTTACAGGATTAGATATTTTCAATAGTGTCACAGGGAGGTTTCGGACATCCTCCTTGCAGACATCACAGGTCTTGTTTCCTTTGATAGTAAACCACTTTACTGCACAGTCTTGGTGAGCAAGTGCAAGCTCACCTTTACAACTGCACTCCATCCTAAGAGTATTCCCTCCTTCACCAAGCTCCACCAAACAAATCCTACAAACTGCTTCTTCCTCTGGAATATCCTCAGAAGCATCTTCAATGACTGGAAAGGAAACAGTGTGAGAAAACACTTACAAAGGAGAAGGAGTGGGACGAATTTAAGCATATGGTTAACAACATAACCAAGGACAATAAGATTAGTAAATTAAAATCAATATTAAAAAAAAAATACTATGTGAATTATTTCTGCAGATAAAAGTGGTTATCATTAATAAAGCCAATATAAAGACAACAAAATAATGTTAAAAGATAAAAAGAAAAAAAAAAAAAAAAGGATTTAATCGGTAAGATAATTGCGAATAACTATCTAACAGGTCAAGATCAAAACTTGTGCAATCAGAGGTAAACAGAGTGACCTCTATGGATAGCTCTCACTTCCACATGCAATTAGCAAAAGGAAATTTTTTCAATCATAACTCATGTTTAAATAGTTTAAAGAGATAAATCCTCATGGGGAATGTGCGTAAAATGGCTTTCAACTTCTTAAAAACTAAGAATGCAATTTGTTGTCATTTTTAATAAGAACAAATTTAGGAAAAGAGGAATCAACATTATGCAAGAAGAGCACGGTGAGGCAAACAGTTACAGTAACAGAGAACATAAAACAAAAGAAACAAAATAGGAAAATGGAATAAAGTAAATTCAAAGTTCATAAAAATGCCACTGCAAAAAATAGGGAAACTTGAAAACTACTTCATGTTAGTACTTCTAGTGTTGTAAGCTTGTCTAGGGATGATTGTAGAGCAACACGAGATGAAAGGAATGTTGAATAAATTCGTGTGTCAAAATAGCACAGCGGAGACTATATTATATATAAAACTACTGTATATATACAACCTGAAATACATGATGTGGGATTAAGTCCCTTATACTACTTCTACTATATACAACACTTCCCCTCAAGCTGCAGCGTATAAATCATGAGTACCAAACTTCTTACATATATACTCTATTCGAGGACCCCTCCAAGACTTAGTAAATACATCTGTTAATTGATCATTAGAGGGTACAAAACAGGTCATAATTTCACCAGAAAGGAACCTTTTTTCGAAAAAAAATGACAATTTATCTCGATATGCTTGGTTCTTTCATGAAACACTAAATTGGAAGAAATATGTAAAGCTGTTTGCTTATCACAAATGAGAGTTGCTGGTCCAGTGTCTCCAAACTTGAGCTCTCCAAGAAGTTGCTTTAGCCAACTGAGCTAGCAAGTAGTAGTGGCCATCAAGCGATACTCTTTTAGCACTTGATCTGGCAACTACATTCTGCTTTTTACTTTTCCAATAAACCAAGTTGCCTCCAATAAAGACACAATATCCAGTAGTAGATCTCTTATTAGTAGGACAACCTGCCAAATCAGCATCAGAGTACCCGACAATTTTAAGATGACCTTTATCTTTATATGCAAGGCCTTTTTCTGGAGATGCCTTGATATACTTAAGAATATGAATGACAGCATTTCAGTGTTCTTGACATGGATAATTAAGAAACTAACTTATTACACTAACTGCAAATGAAATGTCAAGCCGAGTGATTGTGAGGTAGTTCAATTTTCCAACCAATCTTCTATACATTTTAGGATCTGAAAAAGGCTCCCCCTGATTCAGAAGAAGCTTGACATTTGGATCCATAGGGGTATCAACAGACTTAGACTTCAACAAAACAGTCTCTTCAAGAATATCCAAAGCATATTTCCTCTGAATATCACAATTTAGGTTGGGCCACCTCGATTCCCAAGAAATATCGAAGTTTCCCAACATCCTTGGTCTAAAAATGATGACATAAATGTTGCTTCAATTGAGTAATCCCATGAGTATCACTACCTGTGATGACAATATCATTAACATACACCACCAAGTAGATAGACCACGAAGTTGAATGACGATAAAAGAAGGAATGATCAGCCTCACTCCAAGTCATACCAAATTGTTGAACAACAATGCTAAATCTGCCAAACCAAACTCGTGGAGATTGCTTGAGACCGTATAGAGACTTGCGGAGACGACAAACAAGACACGACTCCCCCTTGAGCAACAAACCCAGGAGGTTGCTCCATATAAACTTCCTCCACAAGATCACCATGAAGAAAAGCATTCTTAATATCAAGTTGATAAAGAGGCCAGTGCCGGATTGCAGCCATGGCAATGAAGTGGTGAACAAAATACATCTTCACCACAGGGGAAAAAGTGTCACCATAATCAAAGTGGCGCAGCGGAAGGATGGTGGGCACATAACCACAGGTCCAAGGATCAGAACCTGGCTCTGATACCATATTGAGCAACAACAGACGAAAGGAACATTGAATAAATCCGTGTGTCAAAATAGCATGGCGGAGACTATATTTTATATAAAACTATTGTGTATATACAACCTAAAATACATGATATAGGACTAAGTCCCTTATACTACTTCTACTATATACAACAATGATGATCCACCTACCCGATCTATATCTAGTTCATGTGCTAAATGTGACCATTGTCTAAGGAAGTGGATAGATTAAAGAACATGCTTAAAGAATGACATGTGGTAGAGATAATTTGGATGCCTTGCTAGGTAGACAAAGGAATGCATCTAATAGAAGTGGTATTGGCTTTGAAATGATATCATATCTGAAATTAAATCATGATGGCGGAAGACCCCCTTGTATATGACTATATCTCCATTAATATAATGCACATATTGTTATATAAAAGGCCATAATGCATACCAATGTCATATTAGAATATATGGTTTGGATGGAACAAACTTGCAATGGGCTCCAAAAGGAACTACTTATTCATCATCTACTAACCCCAAAGGACCCAGACAAGTTTGGCTACCAAAAGTTAAAACTTGAAAATTGTAGGTTATTTTAATGACTTGAGCTTAAATGAGAAACAAGGTGACAAAGGACCATTCAAAGCATGCCAATACAATATACAACAAGCTGATCAAGATAAGGCCGAGATATCAAATGCAAAGCAGTGGCTTACCCAAAGATTGGAGGTCATCCAAGGATCATCTAATGGATGCAATCATATGTAACATTTCAAAGGGAGCAAGTACAAGACATTCTTTAAGAAACGTGTGTAATCACTCAGCATTTGTATCTCATATTCAACCAAAATCCATTGATGATGCTATACTTTTAAAAATTTGTAACCCTTTTTTTGTTTTTAAAATCGAATTTAGAGAACATATCTGAGTTGTTTTTGTTTTGTGTTTTCACTTTTAACTTTCAAAAAAAAAAAAATAGAAAACACCTATTTCATTAACTATTCTATAAAACAATTTTAAGAACACAAAAACTAGAACACAAATCAAACAGACGCTTAGATTTTAGATAAGCATCCAGTCACAGTAGGACTATGACAATGAATTCTAAAACAATCTTTCAACTTGTGATTCATTCTTCATTCTAAAACAGACGCTTATGAAACTAGATATCATTCTAATCTGCTATTTCTCAAAGTTCTTATCCTCCTTTTCTATCAAAGGAAAAAACATTACTGTACTCGTGAACATATGTTAAACAAAACTTGAAGGAACAACTATCACCTCTCGCCACATTTGACAGATACAAGCATGGCACTGTCTTGAGAATCATGCTCATACTTTTGCTTCAAATGCATAGTATTGGAAGTTATGCCCAAACTCTGAATTTAATACAAAGTTTCATGGTGGATCTTGGTAACCATCCAAATAGCCTTGGACTATATTGTATTCAGGAAGGCATACGCATAACAGTAACAAATTATGCATTTAGGAAGGCATGATGATAGGAAGGTAAATTATTGATTTTCGAATAAAAATGGATAGATGCTATAAATTGTTTTACTGAAAGCTTGGCATTGAATCCATTGATTGATCCAACCCCACCAAGTGGTTTAAGACTTGTTTGTTGCAAGAAAAAAAAATGAGAGAAAAAATTGAGAAATTAACATTCTTCTACAGATAGAAGAAGTTGAGGAGAAAATAGCAGGACTAGTTAGAATTTAAAACCAGTAGAGAGGATTCAGGAATTTTTTAGTAAGCATGCAACCAGAACTGAGAAATTCAATTCCCTTACAAACTTTATTCTACTTAAAATAGCAAGTAATCCTAACTAAAATGGGAAAAGACAATCCAAAATTAGAAATCCTAAAATCAGAATTGAAACTCCTAAAAGACTAAACTACACATTAACATCAATATTAAACGTACCGCATTCAGTATTGCCAAGACTAACTCTAGAATTCCTGAAGCTTAATATCTGAGGCGAAATCCCAAAAATGGTTTTATATCTCTAACACACTCCCTTGTGCAAGAATATTTTGCACATGTAGAATACACAGTGAGTCTGAATGTTTTAATTTATCTTGAATTAAATTTTAATTTAATTATGATGAAGAAAAGAATGGTGGCAGCAAGAATCAAGTTCCAAACCACTTGAAAATAGAGGTTCTAATATTGAGTCAAGGACGAACGCAAACTCTCTTAAGCCTTTAGGTGAAAGCTCAAGAATGTTTTATATATCTATCAACTACCATCGTTTCTTTAATTTTGTAAGTCCAAATGCAATTGAATGAAGGGTTCTACATGTTCTAAATTGCTCAAGAAAAATTACAGACAACACTTTATAAATCATAACTCCTATATTTTCTTTCCTCAATAAAGTCTTTTAGACAATGCATTCACATTGCTAACTTTATTTACAGTTCAGTACCTGATATTAAAAAAATTGTTTTGCTTGCCAAAACAACAGACTGTTTCAGATTACCCATATATTTTATCAAGAAATTTTAAAGGGATACCTTGAAGAAAGTAAGATGAGTTCCATATATTATGAAGATTTACCAATATCTGACACTGAAGCATTGTGAGTTGAAATGCCATCAATAGTTGGTAGATGTGATTTTGCTGAAATTACACGAATCAGTCCCCTAGAATCTGTAGGCCTTAAATTAGTGGTTTTGACATTAACTGGAACTGAAAATGATCGAGTCATATGCTGATTTACTTCCGTTTTCTGTACGAAAAGAAAATATTCACAAATGTAGCATATTTTAAGAACCAAATAGGCAAACACCATTTTCATATGTAAGAAAATGTAGAAAAGTTATTACTATGATGAGTACAGGATAAAAAAGTATTTGTTTTGATCATGAAACAAGAATGAACAGCAGAAACATACACTTAAATCAGAATCACTCCCTAGATGTCTTCCATGTACATTCGCTGCACATGAAGTTGCAATTGGAGTAACTGGTAATGAATATGCTGCTTTTGTTGATGAAGGGAACAATATCTTATTAAGAGAAAGGGTCCTTGAAGTTGAAGGCTTATCTACAGGACCATCTGATGGTAAAGTATCAGTAACAATCAGAACTGTCCTTTCACAATCTTGGGAACAAGTTTTAGCCCTAAAGCTCCTCGCAGGAAGCAAATTTCTTATGGAGGACTTCACTTTGGCTGAATTTGGCCTTGGGGGCAGTCCTCTGGTGGAACCTGGACTTGACAATGTAGGACCATCTGTCTTAGTAAAAGAAGATAATGCACTTTCTAGTGACCTTGCTGGTATTTGCAGAGAGGAGAGGCTAGGTCGTTTAGACTGTGGAATCAAGGAGGTCTTTTCACCTTTTCCATTTCCTTCACATGTCTAAAAATCCATCAAAACTAGTTCATTAAAAAGTAACACAATAAAATTGAAGCAGATACAAAGGTGAAACCAAAAGTTATTAGTATGCATCCTTCATCTTATTATGTTTACTTTGGCATGTAGGGATCACATCAAGTTCAAGGTCATTAGCCAAGACAAAACTTGAAAGCTCAATCCACTTAAGAATTTCAGTTCCTAATACATTACCAATCCAATATGCTCACAGTAATAGCGAAGCCAGATTAAAAAAAAAAAAGGGGGAGAGAAAAAGTGTTTTTTCAAAGAGAGAGAAAACAAAAAGCAAAATTTCTGTTTACCCAAATGGTAAAAAATTGAAACTTATATTATCTTCGTCCCTATAGCTCAAACCAAATGAAACCCATTTGATCTGAAGAAAAATCATGCTACAGGCAAAAGGGTATTCAATTTTCAGCATTAAGATTTTCAACAAAGAATCAAAAGGGGTTTTGCAAAATCACCTGATGATGGAGAGAAGGATCTGACAACACTGAATCTGCATCACTTTGAAGTTCAGCGGCTACCTTGTCCATCAAAGACAAATTCCGGTAATTTTGATATCAGATTCAGAGGAAGGAAAAATGGTATTTGTAAAGTGATCAGCAACACTGAGCTCAAGTTAGGCAGCATTATTTAATATTTTAAAATCTTTGTGACCATTATTATCACCCGCCAACTTGTGACCTTTATTATATTTCCACTTCTTCCACCAATCTTTTGCCTTCAGCAAAAGTATTTGATTTATTCAATGGATGCCTCCTGCTCGACCGGTTAAAAGTGACTGTTTGAACTATAAAGTGGAAAGTTCACAATTTTGAAGTATTATTAGGAAGAATTTTTACTTTCACCACCCAGGCAAAGATTAGCCTTATCCAAGGTAATCAAAAAAGTAGTAAAATAATATTAGTATATCCTTTTATATATATATATATATATATATATATATATATATAGGGGAGAGATCTTTTGACTCTAGAGTAAGATTTACAAGTCTTACTCCCCATCTTAACCATTGATTTTCGTCCATCTAACGGTTATTATTTATTTAAAAATAATAATTAATTAATTGGTATAAATAACCGTTAGATGAACGGAAATCAATGGTTGAGATGGAGAGTAAGACTTGTAAAGAGTAAAAAGATTCCTCCCCATATATATATATATATAGAGGTAGGATCATTTGATACCAGTGTCAAATTTGAAATTTGACACCTCATCTAATAGTCGTTAGATCAAAAAAGATCAATGACTCTGATTTGTACGCATATGACGCCGTTAATCTTTTTTGATCTAACGGCTATCAGATGAGGTGTCAAATTTCAAATTTGACACTGGTATCAAAGGATCCTACCTCATATATATATATATATATATATATATATATATATATATATATATATAAGTTAAATATTTTTACAACCACTTTAGATAAGGTTGTCTACAGCTACCCCATTTTAACTAAGTCTGACCAGTAAGACATAAAAATTGCATTTTTTTTCTCTTCGTAACGTCTATTGTTATAACTATGTCTTACTGGTCAGACTTAGTTAAAAAAGGAGTAGATGTAGATAATGTTATCTAAAGTAACTGTATAAATACTTTTTCCTATATATATATAGGGTCCGATTTTTCTGCAATCACTGCAGATAAGTTGTTTGCAGTAAGCCCAATACGACGTTGTTTTGGAGCGAAAATCATGGTGTTTTTGTAATTTTAATTTATTTCAAGGTTATTATAGTCTTTAAATTATAATTTTTTAATCTTTCAACCCCAAAACGACGTCATTTTGGGAGTAAATGCAGATAATTTATCTGCAGAAATATTTTTCTAGATATATATATATATATATATATATATATATATATATATAGGGTTCGCTTTTTCTACTGTCAATGTAGATAACTTAAAACGACGTCATTTTGAGACGAAAATCAAGGTATTTTTGTAAAGGTAATTTATTTCAGGGTTATAATAGTCTTTTTATTATAATTTTTCAACTCAAAACTACGTCATTTTGAGAGTGAATGTAAATAACTTATCTACATTCACTGTAGAAACATTAAAGCCATATATATATGTACGGGGAGAAATCTTTTCATTCCACTATAATACTCTTACTCTTATTTCAGCTATTGATTTTCGTCTATTCAACGGTCGTAATTATTTTTGGAATTAATATATAATTAATTGGCATAACTCTATAAACTATAAATGTTAAATGGATGGAAATCAACTGCTTAGCCTGAGAGTATGACTTTTTAGTCTCTCATATATATATATATATATATATATATATATATATATATATATATATATATATATATATATATATATATAAAAAAGGGGAGGGTTATATTTACAAACTTTTTGTTTACAAACTCTTACAAACTACACTATGTTCTATATATACAGAGATAGAGGTAGGATCCTTTGACACTAGTGTCAAATTTAAAATTTGACACTTCATCTGAGAGCCATTAGATCAAAAAAAAAAATCAACGACTCTGATTTGTAAGTATGTGACATCATTGATCTTTTTTGATCTAACGATTATCAGATGAGGTGTCAAATTTCAAATTTGACATGTCAAAGGATCCTGCCTCATATATATATATATATATATATATATATATATATATATATATATGATGCATCTAGAGCTTGCCCAGAAAATGTCAAGCTTTGGTTTAAACAACATCCAAAATATATTAAACCAGCTGATCCAGAAAATTGTACTTTCTTGAATCAGAAGGCCAAAATTACAGCAGCACTATCTGCTTCAACCAGCAAAGAAAGCTTTGCAAAAAATTTGCAGAGCATCCTCCAACTCCTTCAAGAAGAAGAAACTGGAAATTCTAAACAAAAAACTGGTTCACCTTCTCCATCCATCTCCTCTTCAGCAGATGACTTCTACCAAAATGAAGATGACTGTTTTGCCTTAGATTTGGCAGAAGATTGTTGAAGTAGCTGATGTCAGAATGACATAAGCATGACGTCAGCAGAAATGACGCAATCAGTGATGCAATCAGAAGTGTCGGCAGACACTGTAGTCAAAAATCTCAAAAGTGTCGGCAGTTACTGTGCACTCAAACTTGCACTGTTGAAACAGTTCCGGTTTCATGACCCGTACTGTAGAAATAGTGTTTTTTAGTCTATATATAGGATTTCTTCAGATTGTTGAAGGCATCCTTTTTATTTGCTGAGTTTAGAGAGATAGTCTAGAGAGAGACTGCGAGGTACTTCTGAGTTTTCTCTTCTTCTCTGTTTTCTCTTTCAATCTGTAACTGTAATCGTTATGTTTCCTTATGTTTGAATAAAATATGTTTCTATATCTGCTGATGTAAAATCAATTCTTCTCTTCTCATCCCCTCACGCTAGTGGAATTACCCCAGCGTTCACCTTAAATTTATTTTATGTTTTAATTTCTGCATTTTAATTTCAGTCATTTATTTCATATAATAGTCCGTCTACTTCACCATTATCCAACATTTCATTGGTGATCCATCCTTATGGAAAGATCGTTCTGCTGAACTCCTATCCAATCTTAAATGTAGAACCTTAGGTGACTTTCGATGGTATAAAGATACCTTCCTAACTAGGGTTTACACTCGAGATGATAGTCAACAACCTTTCTGGAAAGAAAAATTCTTAGCTGGTCTTCCAAAATCTTTAGGAGACAAAGTTAGGGATAAAATCTGTCATCAATCTCTAACTGGAGATATCCCTTATGAGCAATTAAGTTATGGACAATTAGTTGCTTATATCCAAAAGGTAGCTTTAAAAATCTGTCAAGATGATAAAATCCAACGTCAACTTGCAAAAGAAAAGACTCAAAATCGTAAAGATCTAGGATCATTTTGTGAACAATTTGGTCTGCCTTGTACTACAAAATCTAAAAAACATAAAAAACACGAACAAAAACAGGTTAAAACTTTTAGGAATTTTCGTAAGAAACCCAATTACAATAAAAGGTTTAAAAATGAAAATCCTAAGCTAAATACTGAAACAAATAAATCACAAAATACATCCAAACCAATTAAGCCAACTATTTGCTACAGCTGTGGTAAACCTGGACATATTAGTAAATATTGTAGGCTTAAGAAAAAACTAAATAACCTAAACCTTGATCCATCTACTGAAGAACAAATCAATAATCTTCTAATCCAATCCTCTGATGAAGAATCTGGAAAAGAATCCTCAGAAGACTTAAATCAAGTTCATGAAGATAATTTATCTTCTAGTGAGGACTCACAATCCTCGCAAGAAATTAATGTCCTGACTAAAGAACAAGATCTTTTGTTCGAAGTCATAGATTCAATCAGTGATCCCCATGAAAAGAAAGCTTACTTAGCAAAATTAAAATCATCCTTGGAAACCAGTTCTTCTAAATCTAAAAAGTTGTTGGTTCCTAATAAGTTTAATCTTAAAGATACTCTTAAAAAACTAGAAAAGAGTATTACTGTCAAACCTATAACTGTCCAAGATCTTCAGTATGAGATCAATATTCTCAAAACTGAAGTTAAGCAAATCAAAGAACAACAACAAACTCATCAGAACATCTTTCTTCAATTACAAAATGAAGAATCAACAGGAACGAGTATGGAAAATACTCTGTCTATACTCTGTCTTTAATCATCAGAACATCCATAAGGAAACATATATATATATATATATATATATATATATATATATATATAAGAGAAAAATATTTCTCAAGCTGCTTGAGATATATTTATCTCCGGTCACCCCAAAACTACGTCATTTTGTTTATTTATTTCCTTATATTAATTGATTCACTTCAAATGGTTATGATTTTCTTTTTCTCTCTTCCTTCATCACCGTTGATCCATCTATATACGGTTATGATTTAGTAGCTGGAGATAAAATTATCTCAAGCAGCTTGAGAAATGATAAGCCTTATATATATATATATATATGAGAAAAATATTTCTCAAGTTGCTTGGGATATATTTACCTCCGGCTAGCCTAGAACTACGTCGTTTTGTTTATTTACTTCCTTATATTTATTGATTCACTTTTGAATGGTTATGATTTTCTTTTTCTCTCACTTCTTTTATCACCATTGATCCATATTTGTACGGTTATGATTTAGTGGCCGGTGATAAAGTTATCTTAAGCAACTTGAGAAACGATAAACCCTATATGTGTGTGTGTGTGTGTGTATTTATATATACATATATATAATAATAGTGATAGGCTCCTTTCACACCGGTGTCAAATTTTGAAATTTGACACCAAATTTCAACGGTTGATTTTCGCCAATCAACGATTATCATTTATTCGAAATCAAACATATTGATTAACTATTAATTCCCAATAAATGATAACCGTTGATTGACGGAAATCAACAGTTGAGATTTGATGTCAAATTTCAAAAAACAAAATCTAGTGAAAAAAGTGTCTAATGTTACTTTAGATAACTTTGTCTAATGTTCATCGAAACAACGTTATTTTGGGGTTGAAAAATTAAAAAATTAAAATTATAAAGACTATTATAACACTGAAATAAATTAAAATTATAAATACACCATAATTTTTGCCCATATATATACATATATATATATATATATATATATATATGTATGTATGTATGTGTGTGTGTGTGTACATCGATGTTAAATTAAAAATTTTACACCAAATT